GGCGCACTAACTCCCATGCGTCTGTAGCCCTAGATTACAAGAACATACAAAGTGTAATCCTCAGTTTCGTTAGGTCCTCCTCTTCTTCTTCTTCTTCTTCTTCTGCATTCGCCTGTAAGAGATGGGTTAGTACATTATTTTACTGTTTTACAGCTAGGTTATATATATATATATATATATATATATATATATATATATATATATATATATATATATATATATATTATATATATATATATATATATATATATACACGGCATGCTTTTTTTAAAGGAGCGATAGGTCTGGGTTTTTTCCATCACACACACACACACACAAAAGGATCCTAGAACCCACACCACAGGGGACTTTCGTCATGTGACACCCGCATTATACTTAGACGTCATCGTGTCACACTAATTGCCGAATCTCACCTGGTTACCCATTTTCCCGCCCCAAATCCAGTACCAGAGTTTGCTCCACTTTGAAACCACCAGACGTCGTGCGTGACGTTTGAGATTATTCAGTTCAGGCTCTTGGAGATTAGAGGGGGGCAATTTGAACTGAATGCCACAAGCAGACGGAGCATAAGCAAGAAAGGGACTAGGATAACAAGAGAAGAAATTATTGTAGTACAGGGACGCCGCATAAAGTAATTGGGGGGGGGGGGGGGGGGGGGGGGGGGGTAAGGGTGGTGTCTGCCACTGCCTTTTAATTTTCTAGGGGAGGGGGTCAAAGAGGTTTACATCCTTTTTGAGTGCGCATTATTATTCTTATTCTCATTATTCTTATTAGTAGTATTATTAGGTAGTGGGAGACAAATAAATAATAACTACCTATTTGAAATAAGGAAGTCTCCGTGGCAGAGCGGCTAGACGCGCGCCGCGGATCGGAAGGTCGTGGGTTCGCTCCCTGGCGAAGCCGGACTTTTCTTCAAAGATGACCTTGGCTGCCAGGTCGACCCAGCCTCAAGTGGGTACCGGGTGCAGTCCCGGGAAGTAGAGGCGGCCGGTGTGATGCTGACCACATCACCCATCTTGTGCCGTTGGTCTATAAAAATATAGGTCTAGCCCTATATGCCCTATACGCCTAAAGGCGTGAAACAGGGTCCTTTACTTTACTTTTACTTATTTGAAATAAAATGAAATGTATGAAATCCCGAAAAAAAAATGTCTTTACATGGTTTAGGGAGGATGAGCACTTAGACGCTTGGAGAGTATGTAATGTTGGGGTTTCAGTCCTCCTTCCTCTAAGATTTGGGCTCAAAATGACTTACCCCCCCCCCCCCTCTCTCTCTCTCTCTCAGGTTTCTTCATGCCTGACGTCGCACATTTGCATGTGGAAACCTTTGCACAAAGTCAGTTTTGTATAATTGTTTCATAACAAGAAGAACACTGTATTATAGAAAGATAATGTCAGTTATAAATATGGCTAGGAGTCTGGTCTATTTATTATAATGTGTCTGTTATTGCTAAAGGAGAACTGTGATGTTATATGTGAGTAAACGGGCTGAATATTTGAAATTTCTTACTAGACTTAACAGAGTTGTCTGTCGTTATCAGCACATAACCTGTTGTTGGTGGCTATCTAAGCTGTAGATTAAATCACAGTTCATTCAAAAGACTGTGTACCATAATCCATACAACAACAAACAATGTACTTATAATCTAAGCAACCGACTATATACAGCCACAATATAAGCTACTGAATATATATATATATACCTAAAAAAAGCTGTAGACTATGTACCCACAATACAAGCTGTAGACTATGTACCCACAAAACAAGCTGTAGACTATGTACCCACAATACAATCTGTAGACTATGTACCCACAATACAATCTGTAGACTATGTACCCACAATACAATCTGTAGACTATGTACCCACAATACAATCTGTAGACTATGTACCCACAATACAATATGTAGACTATGTACCCACAATACAATCTGTAGACTACGTACCCACACTAAAGCTGTAGACTACGTACCCACAATACAATCTGTGGACTATGTACCCACAATACAAGCTGTAGACTATGTACCCACAATACAAGCTGTAGACTATGTACCCACAATGCAAATAGTAGGCTATGCACCCACAATTATAGCAGAATACTCGCTCACACACATACACACACACTTACACACAATCCAAGCAGTGGACTATGTACACACAGTACACACGGTAGAGTATGTACACACAATAGAAGCAACGCACATTGTTGCCAATCCAATCTCTCTCTCTTTCTTTCTTTCTTTTTGTCTGTCTCTCTCTCTCTCTCTCTCTCTCTCTCTCTTGCTCTTTGTTAGCAATCCAATCTCTCTCTCTCTCAATCTCTCTCTCTCTCTCTCTCTCTCTCTCTCTCTCTCTCTCTCTCTCCTCTCTTATCATATGAATATAGCATGCTTATTGATAAAATACAGCAGCAGTGTGAAAGACGGGTGTTTGCAAGGGCCGTTCTGCCTCCTCACCCCTTACACTCTCTCACATATACTCACACACACACAGACAACTTCTGTATCATAATTATTCAAACGAGCTTTTTCGCTTGCAAGCTTCTATGATTTTAGCATAGTCTTCTAACAAGCTGGGTGTTGTGAGGGCTCTTTGAACACTGCGGAGGCTCAGATAGATCATTACGGTCTAATGAGAATGGCGCTGCGAGGAGTTACCAGGGAATCTGGCCGTCGCTCAACACTCAGGGGAAAGGCGAGACGGATATACAATCAGACAGTTACTGGTACAATCGAAATTGGAACTCTTCGCTTGCTGCTGGTGATGGGGACGGAGAGCCTATGGAGGTGTCCCGAGTGCTGTAATGTCGATTCCTAATTCAACATTCAACTTCTAACAGTGCTGTAGTTTTGTTGTTCCAAGCATCAGACTTATTGGTGTGTACCCACATTGCGTGTAGTAGAATATATACCTTCAATTCATACTACCTTCAGAGATTCTACAATCCAACCAGTGGAGTATTTGACTTCATTGCAACCTGCTGACTATATTGCCACAATACATGTTACTCACAATTCATTATCACACATACACACCTACAGACACACACACATACGCACACACACACGCGCACGTACACACACACACATTCCTAACATTCATTATTCAATTTACATATTTAAGGACGCATTTATTCGCGTTTATTGTTATATTAAGCATAGCCTGCAACAGCTCACAATCGTGATCGTTATTTTTCTGTACACGACAGTTGAAACACATGCAGCTGAATGCGACACAATGAACCCTATCGATTTTTTGCTTCCTGTTTCGCGGTCTTTTGGGCGTGAAAACAGTGTTTTCCAGCTTTACAGTCATTTCAGCAGCCAGAGGCTTGTAGATGTTTTAATGACTTTATATAAATGTCGGTCTGGCTAAATAAACGTTAGTGCATTCGAGTTACTGGTCGTCGCAGCACAACTACAGCATTTGTTGACTATTGAAGGCTTTTTCTTGAGTTTTAATCACAGTGAACGGTCGATTTTCACACAATTGTCGAAATCAACTCAAACCGGTGTATTGCCCGATATTAAAACCTTTCAATACCCCTAAATCGTAGACGCTAACCAGGCTAAAACTTAAACAAATATATCATCACATTTTGCATCAAACTCTTGCATGTACTAGGCAGCGGGACATACTTTTACTAACTCCTTACATTGTTTTCATATCTTGACTTCATTACCAATCTTCTCTTACTATTATATTAATCCATTCTACGACAGATGCGATTTCAACATTCTTTGGTCCCATTATTGAATTACATTCACTAATTACCACTCAGAGATGTTTACTGAAAGGTGTATTTTATATATATATATATATATATATATATATATATATATATATATATATATATATATATATATATATAATTAGACAGTGTTAATGAGTAACTAATTTTACAAAATGGTATGGGGGGGGGGGGGGGGGGGGAAAGACTATTTACAACTGAAATGAGATTCTTTTAAAAGCTCATGTGGCATATCGAGAAGAGACAAGATCAGAAATGATACAATCCGAAAGTAAATTGAGATGGTGGTAGTCATAGATTTAATTAGAAAACAGGTGAAATGTTTTAAATCGGCTGCCAGAAAGCAACACCACAACGACGAGCAATGTACGGACTAAGTGGAAAACTAAAGAGAGGCCAACCACGCATGCTAACCGATGGACAAAGGATGTAACAGACTCCCTCTGAACCATCACGTACCAATCACACTGTCCCACGGATTATACTTCACTCGACACATCAAGGTAACAAATGATTAAATCGAAATGAGATTAAAGCACGAGAAAGTTAAAGTCATTGCAACAGGTTTTATCCCATATGGCTCGGTCTCTCTCTCTCTCTCTCTCTCTCTCTCTCTCTCTCTCTCTCTCTCTCTCTCTCTCTCTCTCTCTCTCTCTCTCTCTCAGCAGAACCGCAAGCTGCCTGTCGAAAGCATCACACAAAGCACGAACTCCGCAGTTCTGACGATGATCCCCAAGAATCTCCTTAAAATATTATACTCGTGAACTAAACGACGCAGCCGTGAAACGAACCCACGACCTTCAAAGCTTGAGGCAAAAGACTTGACCATTTCGCCAGGGAGACTCCCCGAAGTACGAGACGAATCCAGAAAGTAATGACCCGCAGTTCCCCATCCCCCCCCCCCCCTTTTAATCTGAAACTGCGTGCACAAAATGTATAAAATTTACTTAAGAATATAACTCAAAAAGAAATTTAAACACATCATAATTGTCCATATAATCTCCTTCCACTTTTAAGACCCAAGGCCAAAGCGATGCAGGGGGATGTACTTCACCAGGGTTTGTGACTTCATTATTCCCAGAGACAAACAGAATGGAGTATTAGTTTCTGAATGCCCCTCCAAATAACTGACTAGATCTGAAGTAGTCGTAGTAATACACAATTTACAATGTTCTGCTTAATCGCATTATATCTTGATTCTGGTTTCAGGCTTAAACAAGTTATCAGAGGGGCCTCATAACGCTGACAGTCATGGCTAAGGCCGCTCAGTTTGATTCGGATGCCTTCGTTGGTCAGAAGCCAGACATGACGCCATCCATGGCCCATCGTAAGTCTCACTTTGTCTGATTGTGTTTCTATTGTGTGGTTATAAAGTTCCTCTGAATAGTTCACTGTTTGTCTGGCGCTGTATGCACACATGCATACATACCCATATGGGTCTCCGTGCATGTATATAATGCAAGCATAAATGTATGTATTATGTTTGGATATGTGCATATATGTATGTACATATGTATGTATGTATGTATGTATTATGTATGGATATGTGCATATGTATGTATGGATATGTGTGTATGTGTGTATGTGCGTATGTGTGTATGTGTGTATGTGTGTGTGTGTATGTATGTATGTATGTATTATGTATGTCTGTTTGTCTGTCTGTCTGTCTGTCTGTCTGTCTGTCTGTCTGTCTGTCTGTGTGTGTGTGTGTGTATGTATGTATGTTTGTATGTATGTATGTATGTATGTATGTATGTATGTATGTATGTATGTATGTATGTATGTATGTATGTATGTATGTATGTATGTATGTATGTATGTATGTATGTATGTATGTATGTATGTATGTATGTATGTATGTATGTGTGTGTGTATGTATGTGTGTATGTATGAATGTATGTTTGTATGTATGTTTGTATGTATGCATGTATGTATGTATGTATGTGCGTACGTATGTATGTATGTGTGTGTGTATGTTTCGTGTGTGCGCGCGCCCTGGTATGCATGCGTATAATGAAGGTATAGTTTCTTTTAAAATTAATGCAGGAAATAAAGTGGAGACAGCACGACTAATGAGGAAGTCCAAAAAAAAAAAACATAAATACCGCTAACCGATACATTAAAAAAATAGGTGTAAATTGTGGATTCTTTCGACACGTTATGAGGAGGAATACAATTGTAGGCACAGTGACAGCTGGCAAACTTTTACGTTGATAAGCTAGGGGGAGACAAAGAAGAGGATTCTAGAATGATAGGCTTCTTAGTGTAGGCTTCTTAGTGTAGACAGGGACACATACTTGTCAGGTAGGTGGGTAGGTAAGTTTTACCCCACCAGAACATCACACAAGCGATAAACACCCGGTGACACAAAGTGCCACCGTGCGGTTGAGGATCACCCGAGAGGTCCCGGAAACCCTGTGCCGCCTTTGGGCCGTATTTAAGGCCCGGTTATCTTTAGGGCCCCTGGCAAAAGCCGGGGTGGGGCTTCAAATTAACAAAAAAAATTGCACCCACAAGGGGACGACTTATAGCGAGTATAGTTATTTGTCAGAGCATGAAATGTCAGTTCATTGTTACTTCCGTCATTTGTGTTATCAGTGCATGCGCTGCACTTACCGTACAGAAGAGCACGCCAAAGGATATGACTCCGTATCCCTGTCTAGACTGATGGACATGGAGGTGCAGCCTGGAGCTGCAAGAAATGAACATTTTACTAAGGGGACAAGACGTTTCATTAACCAACACAGAACAGGGTCATCAGTGGTTTTAAACTTGTGGAGCTTTTGATGAGGTGATCTGAGCACTTATATATCTGTCCGGAGTGCTGTGATAATAATCCTTTCTAATCACTAATCATTAATCACGTCCGTCATTTTGTTGTTTATGATTTGTTTAAAAGTGTTGTTTGCTAATTAAGGTGTGTAGCTGCTACTAACGGAAGGAAGTTTATACTACATGCTAGATGAAATAACCCATCTAGTCCTAAATACGTGCTGGGCAGATGTTGCTTGTTTTAGTGAATAGGCACAAATATTGCAGATTCATGGTACAAACACCACCGTTAACACAGCGGTTCTCAAACTGGGTGCTGGGCCAGTAATCAAGAAAAGTGGGCTAAACATTGTGAAATTATTAAAGAAGGCTTGTAGGTACTTAAAAGTTAAAATTTCCTTCCTCGCCACTGTCGAAAATAGTTTATTTCTTGTTTGCTAAATGCAGCGTTAACGCTGCGTAAGCCCCACCCGGTGACGTCAGCAGCACGTCCCGTCAGATGGAGCCGGTCGTGGTACAACCCACACCACAACTAGCGTCCTTTTTTAAAAAGACAAGCAAGGGAGAGAAATGGGGGGGGGGGGGGGTAATGTTGCAGACTGCAACAGCATCATTGCAAACTATGAAATATATAGTCACGACTACGTAAATTATTATCTTTATCTTTGTGTGTTCCAAGTGCGAGGTCAACCCACACTCATACCATATATTATCGCGCCATGAAAAGATACATGGGAGGGCTATCCTCTGAATAACGGGGGACATATTTTGGCGGCCAAAAATACACCCTAACACCGCGGCTAAGCTAGATGGCTGGGACTCAGGAGCCAATAAAATGAAGGAAGCTGCAGGAGATGCGGTACCTGCTGCTCGTGAGTCCCAGCCATCTAGTTTAGCCCCGCTCCATGCCGCGCGTAGCGGTGGCGGTAGTCGCCGGAAGTTCGCAGTTTAAGTTGCCGGAAGTATGCAATTGACATGTGACTGAGGCCCTGTCAGGGTGTGTTTTTGGCTGCCATTATATGTGCCCGTTATTCGGAGGATAGCCTATGCGAGGAAAAGTGTTGGCAAAGTTGAGTGTAGAATTAAGAAACAATATCACAGCAATTGGGACATTTCCAAAAGCGCTTTGTCTCTTTAACCTTATCCCTATTTGGGATGCATTTTTGTTTTGTTTTTTAACTCCAAATTCTGCCTTTTGCCAGGGGCCGCAATATAGCCCGGCTATAAATATGACCTAATGGCTGAACGAGGTTTCCGGAACCTCTCCACGGGTGATCTTCTTCCACATGGTGGCAGTTTGTGTCATCGGGTGTTTATCGCTTGTGTGATGTTCTGGTGTGGTAGAAGAAGATAGTTAGCTTCGTCTCCATCTTCAGCAGAAAACGTAGAGTTACAATTCTGTGGCATACAATAAAAGTATGGTTGTATATCCGTCTCGCCTTTCTACTTAGTGTTGATGGGCAGCCAGATCGCCTGCTCACTCCTGGGCACCATTCCCCTCAGATCGTGATGTTCTATTGTATGTGCCTCCACACAGTTGACTCGTTCCTAATGGGCCCTTTGAACATCTAGCTTTCCCGGGATCACATCACCACCTAGTGGTGCAGAACCAGCCACTGTATCTGCCTACTCGTTTCCCAACACAACAGCATTTCCCGGAGAAAATATCTAAAGGACGCAAACTACCCGGGGCCTCTGAAGTGATGCTTGCCACTCTCTACGGAACCTAAGTGATGGCAAACGTGCACATGAAATACAGCATTACAAATGACTATCAACACCAGTAGGACCGAATGAATCCAGTCTGAGACACCGTTCAAGTCTCCGACATGATTGCTGAAGATACTTTACTGAATAGTATTTATATATTAACCTCCTTTCAGCATATATGATTAAATATAACAATTTGGAACAAATGTGTAACTCACCGTTTCTGCAGAAGTAAAACCTTAGAGGGCATTCCGGAACTTGTATTTTGATATCCACACGGAACGACAGTAACTAGTGCCACACATCGATCATTGTATCTATCCGCGACGATGACCGCAAAATTTGAAGTTAAAACAGTGATGATGACTTTGATTCCAAACAAAATGAATACAGAATAAATATACACAAATGCGACAGCGCGCGCGTGCACAAGCACTTGATCATTGTCAAACGGTTAAAGTAAATAACAGTGACTAATAAACACGTTATTTCTCACTACCACACATGTGAATAAATCATTCAACATACAAGGCTGGTAGACAACCAGCTACAGTGAGTGACCACAGCACAGTGGTGAGCGTGGGTCACTTAATGAATCATTCAAACGTGAATAGTTGTCACCCACTTTGGCTATTTACTTTCAGATTTCAAAAAAAAAAAAAAAAATAGAAACAACATACAGCCCTAATTGGGGCATAACACCGCTATAATTGGGAAAGGGGTTAGAGAGTGCAAACCATCGCGTCCCCTTTTCGGATGTAATTTTTCGTTATTTAAAGCCCCACTCTGGCTGTTGCCGGGGGGCCCCGAATATAGCTGGACCACAATTGTAGCACGCTCGCCACCGATCGGAAGGTCGTGGGTTCGCTCTATGGCGGAGCCGGACTATTTTCAGAAATGACATTGGCTGCCAGGTCGACCCAGCCTTGAGTGGGTACCGGGTGCAGTCCCGGGAAGTAAAGACGGCCGGCGTGATGCTGACCACATCACCCATCTTGTTCCGATTGGTCTATAAAATATAGGTCTAGCCCTGTAGGACCTGTACGTCTGAAGGCGTGGAAAAGGGTCTTTCACTTTATTTTACTCACAATTGTAGCCATAACGGCTGAAAAAGGTTTATGGGACCTCTACACGGGTGATCCTCATCCGCATGGTGGTACTTTGTTTATCGCTTGTGTGATGTCCTGGTGTCGGCTCTGTGGCTAAGTCGATGCGAACGCTTCGCTTCGTAATACCGGGATGCCAGGTTCGATCCAAGCTGCGAGCAATGCGCATTGCGTTGGTTTCGACAGTGGTATCAAGAAAGCCGACCGTCCAGAGGCAATGTCAAACTACTGGATGTAACTTGCCTAGAGAAACCACAACGTCCTGTAAAGGATACGCAACTAACTAAAAAAAGATGTCCTGGTAGGGTACAATAAGCAAGCAAGCAAGAGAGGGTAAGTCACCGAAATTAATGTGAAACCACTAAAAGATATTTCTAGCTCGTTGTAAATAGGTAGTCGGCGTCTGTGGCCTAGGCGTTACGAACTCGCTTCGTAAAGCCGGGGTGCCGTGTTCGAATCCAACTGCGGACGGTTTGTCTTGCGTTGGTTTCGACAGTGGTACTGAGAGCTGACCGTACAGAAGCTGGCAAACTACTGAACGTAAAATTTGTCTAGAAAAACAACAACAGCCCAAAAAAGCTGGGGTTGGTTCTGCAACGTCCTGTGAAGTATATGCAACTAACTGTAAATAGGTTAAACTGTTTCAAAAATCCCTGCTTGGTGGACCCGAATTTAACTTTATTCAGATTAGCGCAACCTGAGAGATATTTCATTTGTCCTCGTATCTGCAGGTAGCAATCGTTCATAGGTAAACTTCAGAACGTTTGCATCACTGCATAAACTTTTTAGCATGTAGTGAGTCTCTCTGATCTCTTTTTCTTTCCTCAATGTCCGAGGCTTAGTCGGGGTTTCAACTTAGCTGCAATCGGGTTTTCCCATAGTTATTCGAAAGTTTATCCTCACTGTACATCAGACCAAAAAATCCCATAAGCCCACGGGTCCCATCCTCAGTATATTCTGTAGCGTGTGGCGACTACTAACATCAGTGCTATGTTGGTTATTTCTTCTTTGGTTACCTATATAATGTTCATGTTTGGCGACACCTCTTTTGACCTGAAGTTCTTGTTGTAGACTTTTTAAGTGTTCCCGATTCAAGGTCGTCTCCTGAATCATCTTTTCGTACTGTCTTCTTGAGAGCGTTTAGAAAATCGGCCCGGACCATTACTTTACCTACCGTGGCCCTGCCAGCAAGCCATTCCGCTCGTTCGCTCCCTCTTACACTAGAGTATCCTGACACACACAAATTAATTCCTTCAAGACGAGATTTAATTAGCGACTCCAATCATTTTCTTCGAATCCACTGTCTCCATCTCCTTAAACATGCTCATGGAATCACATAGAAAGCACACATGTGAAAACTGCTGTGTCTCTAGCCACATCCTTGCTTTTGTAACGCCATCACCTTCATAGTCAAACTACTTGTAGTTGAGGCAAAAGCCCAGCTTTCTGTATTTTACAGATTTTCCCTGAACCAGAGCCGTTAAAGCCCATAAACTGTGTGCGTGTCGAATGACGGATCCGTCAGTGTAGATAACTGCACCTCCATCATCTGAATGTGCAAGAAGTAAAGCTTGCACCTCTGCCTCAACCACCAGCTGGCCTTGTTGTTTGCAATCTCTACCCAGTTTTATGCAGACTGAAAAGGATATACCCAACTCTGCTGGCACTCGTATCCATTCTTCACCAGGATCTATGTCCTCAAATGAACAAACTTGTTGAATAATTTCATCAGCTTGAAACACCCAGGATTTCCCTAATTTAAACCTGCTACCCTTCTTGCTGCGAATCTCACTGTGCAATGGATGGTGTGTATCGGCACTGATACGTAGATACGCACGTGCTCGGCAGATCACTGTTCCCACTTCCATGGTTGGAAGTTCAAGGGGGTAGGTAACACATCGCTTTGCATGCTGCATTTTGTGTGCATCAAAGTATGATGCGCATGGCTTCTTTCTGTATCCGATATAGTCTGTCTGTCTGTGTACGGCTAAGAGTCAGAATCGCCAGAGCGTACTCAATTGCAAAAAGGATCAGATCCTGGTATAAGAAAAATAAGTGACGTTGCTCACAGTTTGTCGCAGCCATAATCCTTAGCGCCGTCAAACCTTCCTTTGTCTTCATTGTCATATGATTCACATGCTCATAAAAGCAAGACTATGGCCAAAACACACTTCTTAATTCTGAATTGAGCGAGTTTTCTCCATGATCTCCGAACACAGACTCATAGTTGGTGTTGATGTATTTATAAATTGTTATTCAACGAAAACCATGTCACAGTTGACTTTGACACATTGACGACCGCTCCAGCTTCATCGCACCACCTGCTTATGTGATCAGGTTCTGTCTGAAAGCCCTTGGCAATCTACTCCCGGTGTTTACATTAACGGTACACCAAAAAATCACCTGCATAAGTCAGTTTCCTTCCGAGTCACTTGATCTGCTGGCCTGTGATTCTCATAGTGAAAATGTTGAAAAGTATCGGGGCACACCGGGGTGTATGGTTATTGGTTCAGATGTCCAGCTACCGCATTTAAACACCACCTTCCGCTCGAAGAGAACCGATGAGATCCAGTTAATGAGAAACAGACTAAGACAGAGATCACGAAGCTGACCAATCAAGAAGTCAAATGGTACCTTGGTGTACGTATCCTCAACATCTGTTGCAACAGCACAAGTGTCCATCCTCACGTAGAATCCCTCATTAACATCATATACAAAGATCGCTGCATTCCCCCAGGTCTCTCAGTTTGGGCGATATCCTCCCAGCGTGGGTGCAAAGAGGCCTAACTGCTCAATATGGCACAATATTTTCTTGGCAACCATCTTTTCCAACAGCTCGCCTATGGTATTCTGCATGTAGCCCTGTATTGTTGTGTGATCCTTACCAGGCTTCATCAAAGGTATCAAATAACTATGCAGCCATTCTTCATCAATTGTCACACTCTCAGTACTGCTGATGCAGATACTCGCAGTTCCGCTGATGCAGATACTCGCAGTTCCGCTGATGCAGATACTCGCAGTTCCGCTGATGCAGATACTCGCAGTTCCGCTGATGCAGATACTCGCAGTTCCGCTGATGCAGATACTCGCAGTTCCGCTGATGCCGATACTCGCAGTTCCGCTGATGCAGATACTCGCAGTTCCGCTGATGCAGATACTCGCAGTTCCGCTGATGCAGATACTCGCAGTTCCGCTGATGCAGATACTCTCAGTTCCGCTGATGCAGATACTCGCAGTTCCGCTGATGCAGATACTCGCAGTTCCGCTGATGCAGATACTCGCAGTTCCGCTGATGCAGATACTCGCAGTTCCGCTGATGCAGATACTCGCAGTTCCGCTGATGCCGATACTCGCAGTTCCGCTGATGCAGATACTCGCAGTTCCGCTGATGCAGATACTCGCAGTTCCGCTGATGCAGATACTCGCAGTTCCGCTGATGCAGATACTCTCAGTTCCGCTGATGCAGATACTCGCAGTTCCGCTGATGCAGATACTCGCAGTTCCGCTGATGCAGATACTCGCAGTTCCGCTGATGCAGATACTCGCAGTTCCGCTGATGCAGATACTCGCAGTTCCGCTGATGCAGATACTCGCAGTTCCGCTGATGCAGATACTCGCAGTTCCGCTGATGCCGATACTCGCAGTTCCGCTGATGCAGATACTCGCAGTTCCGCTGATGCAGATACTCGCAGTTCCGCTGATGCAGATACTCGCAGTTCCGCTGATGCAGATACTCGCAGTTCCGCTGATGCAGATCTCGCAGTTCCGCTGATGCAGATACTCGCAGTTCCGCTGATGCAGATACTCGCAGTTCCGCTGATGCAGATACTCGCAGTTCCGTTGATGCAGATACTCGCAGTTCCGCTGATGCAGATACTCGCAGTTCCGCTGATGCAGATACTCGTAGTTCCGCTGATGCAGATACTCGCAGTTCCGCTGATGCAGATACTCTCAGTTCCGCTGATGCAGATACTCGCAGTTCCGCTGATGCAGATACTCGCAGTTCCGCTGATGCAGATATTCTCAGTTTCGCTGATGCAGATACTCGCAGTTTCGCTGATGCAGATACTCGCAGTTCCGCTGATGCAGATACTCGCAGTTCCGCTGATGCAGATACTCTCAGTTCCGCTGATGCAGATACTCGCAGTTTCGCTGATGCAGATACTCGCAGTTCCGCTGATGCAGATACTCTCAGTTCCGCTGATGCAGATACTCTCAGTTCCGCTGATGCAGATACTCTCAGTTCCGCTGATGCAGATACTCGCAGTTCCGTTGATGCAGATACTCGCAGTTCCGCTGATGCAGATACTCGCAGTTTCGCTGATGCAGATACTCGCAGTTTCGCTGATGCAGATACTCGCAGTTCCGCTGATGCAGATACTCTCAGTTCCGCTGATGCAGATACTCGCAGTTCCGCTGATGCAGATACTCGCAGTTCCGCTGATGCAGATACTCGCAGTTCCGCTGATGCAGATACTCTCAGTTCCGCTGATGCAGATACTCTCAGTTCCGCTGATGCAGATACTCGCAGTTCCGCTGATGCAGATACTCGCAGTTCCGCTGATGCAGATACTCTCAGTTCCGCTGATGCAGATACTCCCAGTTCCGCTGATGCAGATACTCACAGTTCAGCTGATGCAGATACTCGCAGTTCCTCCAGCTCTTTATCAGACAGCTGAGAAGTATTTCCATAGCTGATGCCATCTGGACCAGGTGCCCTTGCTCCGTTTCTGTACCAGTGCAAATCGAATGAAATGTCCCTCACTGTCTGGTTTGAAAAACTATTAAACAAACAATTAGTCCCGGAACAACCTAGAAATATGCGCACGCAGTAAATGCATGTGGCAGTTGCCAGAGTTAAAAAAACAAAGTAAAGGACCCTTTTCCACACCCTTAGGCATATAGGGCTAGACGTATATTTTTATAGACAGCATCACGCCGACCGTCTTTACTTCCCGGGACTGCATTCAGTACCCACTCAAGGCTCGGTCGACTTGGGAACCAAGGTAACAGTTGCCAAGGGTGCCAAAGCAAATAGTGAAATAAATAGTCCACCATTTTGCAACTAAAAATCAATCTAAACGAGAAGTAGACATAGTCAGCTTCACAGTAAAACACAGTTAAAAATTACAAAACATAAATGTTGAGGCTAGAAAGCTTTCATCAGCACACAACAAACGGGCAGTGATACAACTCCGTAAAACAAAGTACACTAGTTTTGCCTGAAACCCATCAGAATGTACATTGTCTATCCACATTAGATACCCGCTAGTTACTAGCGCAACCAGAACAGATAATTTCTGCAACTTATGTGTGCTGCAGGAGACGGAACATCTATAGATATGCCGGTGTGCTTGTCAGTTCTTTAAAAGAAAAGCAAACATTGAAATTATTACCTAAATACAGTCATGAATATAGAAAATTATGTTATAAATTATTAAACTGTGTTTTCCTATTTACTTCCCAACAGTAACACTCAGTGAAGAACTTGGAGGCTCCAACCTGTCACTGAATAAACGGAGCATGGTGCTGGACGAGGACAGATTTGAAGACCTGTTTCTCAAATGCTTTATCTGTAAAGAGCGGTTCACAAACACGTCGCTTCCCAGGATGCTTCCTTGCCACCATTCATTCTGTCAATCTTGCATCAATCATTTATTTGACCTGGCGAAGGAACATAAACATTCATTGCAATCCACAATCCGTGGATTGTCATATTCGGTGCCACCAGGGGCGGTCAGTGTAGCTTGCCCAACATGTAGAGCCACCTTCATTGCCACCAGTGAGACGATAAAAAGACTTTCCACTGACCACCGGGTGGTACAGCTGATGGACTTTGTCCATCATACAGATCACTGCACTGTTACATTCTGTTCCAGACACAACCTTCAACCTTTGAACTTCTTCTGTGAACCTTGTCTTCTACCGTTGTGCCGAGACTGTACGGAACTTGATCACAAAGAGGATGATGGCCATTTAGTCATCGACCTGGAAGATGCAATGACTAAGTATACTCCAGTTCTAGACAGCGCCATCACTGAGATGGAAGCAGAAATTATCTCCCTGGAAGAGAAAGGAATCATTTTGGAGTCGGTGACAAACCATTTGGACAGCGTCAAAAGTGACCTTATCGGGCAGGTACACTCCTGCATGGCCAGAATGAGAGAACTGTTGAATGAACGAGAGAAAGTTCTGATTGCTAAAGTTCATCAGGAAACTGAAAAAGAGCGCAATAAGTTGATAGAGAAAGCAGCACTGTTAGATAGCCGGCGGGAAATTATTGTTGAGAAATCTAGCAAGCTTCGGCAAGCCAAAGACAACGGTCATGTTGAGGAAATGTTCCGAATCCATCAAGATGTTCGTGAGTTTCGGGCCGAGCCGGCAGTCAGAATTCGAGAAATAGATGACGGACTCATGACATCATTTGTTCTTAACACGCGTGATGAGGCAATGTTGGCTTCTCGCATCAACAACTTTGGGGATGTGGTTAGCAAGGTAGAAACAACATCATCTAGAGTGAAGACAAAGGTCAGCACATTTCTAACGAGACCAAGCTCTTATAAATAAGAATATGTTTAACAGCTGTTGGATAATTATTGTTCTGTCCATCACAGTTGTTTATGACATGTCCTTTCATTAGCTTGTGGTAGAGTTGAATTTGGACAGCAAAAATTAGTAACCCAGTTTTTTTAAAGAGGCGAGGATTCATTGACAACTTATCACAAACATTAAAGTGAGACAGTCTCTCTCAGAAAGAGAGGGGGGGGGGGGAGAATACAATGTGAGAAGCTTCTTGACAGCCTTTCGTCATAGCCTTTTGGGCATCACTGTATGAGCTGATATATGATGTTGATGATCGCAGGTTGTGGGTCGCCCTGGCTAATTGGCAAGGCACTTGAGAATGATGATTGGGGGATTTATGTGTGCACTAGCAGATGGTGAAGCCAAGTACAGAATGTCCTGGTATAGTGAGGACCGGGAATGTGAGCCACATCAATTGCGTGATTCATTTCAGGCTCTTGTCTGATTTGTCTTTGTTGAACTGCTGTTGCAGTTCTGATTGCTCAAATGCCACTGCGTGTTGAATAATATGTGTTCTTATTGTTTGCGTATTTTCACAAAGTTATTGACAGCCGTTGTGTTTTAATCAAGTGACAACTGTTTAAAAAAACTAGTTCTTGTTAAATGTTGAAATATTTAGCACAACTTTAAGCAGCTGAAACTATCATAGTCACCGTGTCTCATGTCACAGATGTCAGGTCTCGTCTGTCATTTACATTTGCATCTTTTATCTCATTGCTATAAGTGACATTCAGTTCTAGTTATATATATGTATATATGTATCTTACTGTCACTAATTACTGGTTATTCAAGTTTATTGATTCTTACCTTTTCAATGATGTTAACAAACAAACAATAACTATGAATGTGCTAAAATACTGTATATTCTGTTGAGATCATGTGTAATGAAAATAAAGTATCTTGGCATATTTAATACCACAGAGTCAATTGTTTAATAGTGGGAAAAAAGAAAAAAAAAATTCAAATCGTCAACATCTGATTTTTTTGTTTATTTAAATTAATTTGTTGGGGTGGGTTTTACTGATGTTGAATAGAACCGATCCCAACATATCAACAGCAACACACAAACATACTCACTATTTGTATGTATTATCATTTTTGTTATTATATTTTCTAACAGTATACTAATTTTTCTTCAGAATTGTAATTAATTATTTAAAAAACATGTTGCAAATTAACAAAACTGTGGTTTAATTTGTGTATAAATCTACTGGATAAACATAGTGAACACACACCAGACCCTCAGAGTTGCACAAAAACGGGAATTTCCATTGACCTGGATGGCCTTATAAAGAACTACAGTGTGCCATGGTCTGAAGGTTTTAGGTTTTGGCATGCTGTCAGATTTCTTTTTTTAAATGACTGACCTTTGCTCCCAGGTCGACCATAAAATCCTATGAAGTAAAAACGGCTGGTCTGGTATTGACTTAATCAAGAGTGCTGATATCTCTGTGAAAATGTGGGTCTAGCATCATATGCTCAATGAACCATGGGTGTATCAAATCAGCTTTTACCCGTTTTAGTTTAGCACCTAAAAACCTACTCGGAATGAGATGTGCAGTTTCAGTTTAAAGTTAAGAAAACAACAGAAAACAAAAAAAACATGACTAGTCACCATTATCAACAACAACAACAACAACGCAATCACGAATTACAAAGTGATGCTGCTGTAGAATTTTCATCAGAGTACAACAACATGCACAATGATGTAACTATATAACATGACTTTGGTGTTTCAAAGCTGGTGCCCACAATATCTAGTGATACACGATTTTTGTCTGTGTACTATGGGGCCTGGTTTATCTCCGCAGAGCAGCTGGCTTTTCTTAAAGTATCGCCCATGCTTCTCCATGATTGATACCATGGATCTGCAAAACACCTGTATCTGCAAATGAGAAACTAAACGGCTGGAACTGAACTTAAATCTGTAACCTTCAAAAAGTGAGACAAACAGCTAACCAACTTTGCCACAGGGACCCCTTAAGCAAAGTATTAACATACTACAATGGAAACCACTCATTGTGATCACTTGTGATTCTATTTATTACTGAAAATAGCAGTTGTGTTTTGAGGACACCTTTAAAGACTGATAATTCTTTTTTGCGCAAACAGTTTCAAGTTACTTCCCCTACATCTTAATAAAAAAAACTATTTATACAGGCAGTACAAGAGTCTTAGTCTCACAGATTCTCAGGTTGTTTTTTTCTCCTCACATACAAAAGTTCTCTCAGACTTCAAACTTAACTCATACTCAACCACTTTAGCACTGCAGATGATTAAAAATGAAATGTATTACGAAAACCAAAGATGCTGGCAGAATAAGTGTACAACATGAAAATTGAAATCACCAAAAGTCAGAAGAAGATTTAGATAAAAATGGACTGAAGAAGTAACTGACATCCTTATACTTCATAACATCACAGCGTATCAAACAAATGAGTATGCCCTAGTTCGGCTACCTATCATCTGTTAAACTGCGACCCCAAGCCGAACAAAGCAGATACTAAAAAATAAATGAAGAATCCTGAATTTCAGAAACAGTCAAAATAAAAAATATATAAGGGAATGCAAAGCTCAGAGGTGAATCTGCCATAAATTAAATACTATTAACTGGCCCCAGTGCGTGGGGTGGAAGCCGATTCTTATCAGACAGTAAGGCTTTTTTGTCCCTTGCTAATTCCCCCCCCCCCCCCCCCCCCCCCCCCCCCCTAGCCTTCTGTATTTATATACCCTAATAAGTGAGTAAGAATAGAAGTGACGAATTTCAAGCAAGCAGATGCTGGTTTGAGAAATTCTGTTGACGAACTGGAATACATTGAGTTGTTAGTCATGTAGTCATGGAAAGGCTGCTAGTTCTTCAACAAAAACAGCAGTTGCCTATGCTGAGAAATTAGCAAACTTCCTCAACTCTGAAGGTTGCGTACCGCATCGAGATTTTAATTGCGACTAAATGAGACTGGATTGGGGGGAGGCGGGTAGCTAAAAAGGGAACTTGTATAACCTAAGGGGAAAAGTCACTGCATGGCCATAAAACAGTGAAGGACAGGCTTATACTTTTATCGTGCACCAATGCAAGTGATGATCGTAAGATTAGGGGGAGGGGAGCAGTACTAGCAAGGATTCAGTAGCATTATAAAAAAATCCTTCAAAAATATAATTTTGAAGATAGGACTCTCAAATTGTTATACATGGTGGACATATCATTAAGCTGTCATATAAAATAAATATCTCTGGAGTTCAATGTATAAATTTGAGATAATTAGGCTTTTTATGTGAACAATTAATTTTCACATGTGCAAAATATAGATGTTACTTTGGATCTATTTGTAGGGAAATGGTGCAACCAAATTCCTTCAAAATTAAACTATATTTACCCCAAAAAAAATGGTGTGAATATAGTAAGTTCTAGGGAAATTAGTAGCAGAAAAATGAACAAAAGACAGAAAGAAAGTAAAATATTTTATGAAATAAATATTTGAAGAAAAACAAATGTGGATGTGAGAGGTGGGCAATCTTACAATCACTGAAGAAGAAGGTGTGGTTTTTAAACAGAACTGTTACAGAAAAACTCTTAGAATGTCATGTACTTAAAAAATCAAAAAGCAAGAGACCATGAGTTAGGATACTAGACAGTCTGACATTATGACATAAAAGAATCTGTATCAAAGTGATTGACAGTACACGAGACAAAAGGCTCTTGACATTCACGATAAAAGGAGCAAAAATGTGTTTACTTCTTCACCGTACCATTTCTTTGCCTTCTACCATATTCTATGTCGAGATTGGGGCACAGCCCTATGCAGTAAATAATTCCACACACAACTGTCTTAGCTCGGTTATTTTAAATACCATTCGGTCGGTACATGGAAGATGATGTGATCAATAAAACACCAGCCTCTTTATTTCCCAGAACATTAATTGGTACCAGTTTTATTTTTAGGCTTGTCAACATGGGATTTCAGGTGATTTTTTTTTTTTAAATCCCTGATTTGCCCGGCTCGCTAGCGTAGTTGGCTAAACCGGACTGCGCAGTGACCGGGTGACGAAATCCTTGTGGTCCAGGTTCACGCTCGGGGGTAGGCAGAAAAGCCACATTTCTCCCAGATTTACGGTATTTATCATGGAATCAAGGCAGAAGGGTTGCGATATCCATAATACCAAGCCTAAGATTTAACAACTCATGGCTTCTGGATACTAAAAAAAAAAATCTTCTTCTTCACATGCTTTAAACTTCGTAGATAGTTCTGGACTCTGGTCTTGTCCAGAATTTGAGATCTGCATGCACATCCGTTTTATGGATCAGGTTTATTTTTAAGCAGACTGTTGGATCCTTGCCTTTCAAGCAGATGCACTCCGACTTAAGGAAAACCTTTATATAATGATTTTTGGGGGCAGAGGTATATTAATTTTTTTTTTGTCCTGAAAAAATGTGGCCCTCAAACCCACAGGGGGAAACAGGGGTTCAAAAACCCGACCATCAGGATATAGTGCAACATAATACAGTTTTTTTTTTCTTTTCTCATCGTCATCATAATTCCCCAGCACAGCTTGTCATTGGGTCACTAGTTACTTTTGACTCTTATGTTCTGACCACTCCAACTCTGTTGGTCACAGCAAGGGACTAGATATTTGAGGCCTGTCCATTCAGCAAATTCTGCATTAAATACTTTATTGGTCTGCATTTCTTCCTCCTTCTTTCTACAGAGACTAGTAGTGTCATTTGGGGAGGCCAGTAAATTTTTTAATATTTCCGCACTGTTGCATTTTTCATCCTTTTACAGTTGTCAAAAAAGGTTCATAGTTGCCATTGTAGTGAGTGACAATATGGTGAACTTAGCTTTTCGTAATTTGGCAAAAAACTGACAACTACCTTTTTCTGATTTTGTGACAAGTAAGCTAACTCTTTTTGCTGTGACCTCTTTCAAAACATTTCAGTTACTTTGGCTGTCCAAGGAACTGTCCGCGATTTTCAGTAGGTGCATATA